AAGTTCATATACGCCTATATCGGTGTACCAGCACTACAAGAAAACAGAAAATTAGCGACAGCAGAAATGGTCGGAAATCAGTTGTAACTCAGCATTGTACGTCTGATTAGCGACTGAAATACACAGTCGCTAATTCTTAGTCGCTAATTCAAACAGTCGTAGAGTAGTCGCTAATGTGCGACTGAATTACGACTAATGTGTGTTTGATATTTATTATCGTAAATTAGTCGTAATGTAGTCGGCAAATTTAACGACTACTTTACGACTACTTGTGCGACTCAATTACGACTATAATGTAGTCATATTAATAATATACGAGTCGTAGGTAATTAGTCGTTAAATATAACGACCAAGTTACGACTGTTTCGTGACCCATTTACCTTCGAATTAGCGACTGTATACCGACTGATGTCGAGAAATGAATAGTAATTTGTTGCAATTTTGCGACTGATTTGTTTCTGATCTGTGACTATTTTCCGACTAATTTATGACTGGTTTGCGACTATTTTGAGCATCGCATATTCAATTTGGTATTGCTGTTTACAAACCCCCAATTTGAAACCCTGATTACAAACAATGCTCTAAAAAGTCTTTTTTGAATTCTAAAATCATGATGAATATTTAAAAAGCAAAAGGAACAAATAATTTACATAAAAGTCATTGCATACAAACCAAAAAAATCTAAAATGGTTACAATATACAACCATTATAGAGAAGTACAAAATGAGAAGAGACCTACTCTTCTAAGTTTCCGAGACATTATAATAGTTCTAAGGTTCTAAAAAAAGTGAGAAGAGACCTACTCTTCTAAGGTTCCATTAGTTATCGGATCAGCAAGTGTTGGAGACTTCGCAGCAGGAGTGGTCGATAGAGGAGTTTGACTAGCCAAAAAATCATTGAACCGTGGATCAGTTTGAGTCAAGTACCTTTCAACCATCGTGAGCTTCTCGAGCTTGGCTTCTTGCGCAGCTGTAGTTTTGGCAAACTCTGCTTCACGCCGTGCATTCTCAGCCTCTTGGAGCTCTATTTGCTGTTGAGCTTGTTGAAGCTGTTCCTGCAGAGTGTTGTAGGATGCAGAGCTTCCTGGGTACTTCCTCTTGCCATTTACATACAAGTTAGAGAGGCTACCAACTCCATAAGGTATTCCTCTTTCACTCATAATAGTGGACTGCGAATACAAAAAAAAAAAGAGTTAGCTCTCGACGAGGAAAAAAAAGAGTTAGCAAAAAAAACCCAAATAAGAAAACTGAACCGTACCTGTAGAAACAAGTCATTCTCCTCTTCTACAGTTAGCTCTCGACGAGGTGATGTACCCTCAGGATTCTCTGAGTTTTCAGTCCTGATGGCAGACAACTTGGCTTCCAAGTTTTTCTGGTAAGTCTCAACTACTCTCTTTGCCTTTCCATCCACATAACTCCCATCCTTTTTTGTATGAGTCCTGATGAAAACTTCACCAAGACTCACCGGTCTACCTAATTCCTCTTCCTGAAATGATAAACCAAAATATGTCAATGGGAAGTTATGCATCGATTCATAAGACTCTAACACTTAATGAATAATAAAAGAGTAGAAAGTTACCATTTCTTGCTGGATTTGCAGATAGGATTTCTGACCTGAGTAGTGAACGTGAGGACCAAGACCGCCACGTTCAGACAATCGAGCAGCTGAAGTGGTTGAACTCTTTTCTTTGGATTCTTCTTTGTCCCAATGCTCAGTCATTTGTTCCCAGAGTGTATCGCCGATCCAGTTAGGTTGCACTCTTGATATCCTAACGGTGCTGACCATATCCTTCATCCTGCTTTTTCAAATACTCTCAAACTTGGCTTGAACCACACCAGTGATCAAGGGATCCCAGGTGTGGGTTTTCTACAATAACAAGAGACAAAGAGATGATGTTAGAATAATACATAGATACAAACTCAATAACAAACACATATAAATGAAAATGAGGATCTTACCGCGAATTCCACGAAGTAACACTCTTGCCTATCACGAGGCACACGAGTCCAGCTGTAGAAAGGGCCATCAAACTTGTTGGTGAAGACCTTGGTAATCTTCCGGGTAAGTGAGGACTTGTCACGACCAAACCTACATACAAAGAAAACAAAGGAAGAAGTCATCGAGATCATCATTTGAAGAAGGAAACAAATCAAGCTAGAGGAAGTAGACTTACCACGTTGTACCCGGTTTCTCTATGGGAGACAACACCGTAGTATAAGCCTCTCTTCCAGGCTTTGTGAGCAAGGCATTAAGAACCTGAAGCTGGTCTTCAGAGAGATTGACAGCACTGTCTTGTTCTTCAGAAGGATCTGGAAATGCAGCTTCTTCACCGTCATAATGAGCTTGTTGAGAGTGTGGAGAATTACCTCCTTCTTGAGATAATGGAGAGGCTCGGTTTTGAGAGAAAGAAGAAGCTCTGGAAGCTCCTTGATGAGAATGAGGTGATGCAGAATGTTGCCGATGAGGTTGGTCTTGGAAGCGGTGTTGAGGAGATGGAGAGAATCGAATTTGCGATTGCTCTGACCTTCTAGGTTGAGGCAGTGGTTGCAACTCAGGGCCTCCTTGTTGCAAGCTCTGGAAGAGCTCCATCGGCGGTGGATAGTCTTGGACATGTGTCGGCGCGTAGGTTGGGATTAGCGGTGGTGGAGATGTCGCCGGTATGAAATCATACCGACTGGGTAACGGAGTTACGGCGGCTCCTCCTCGTGCTCCTCCGCGTTTCTTCCTTCCACGGCCACCCATCGGATTCCAGGAGAGGCTTGATATCGAAGGTCATTGGGAATCAATCGATTAGGGTTTCGGGATCAGCGGTGAAGAAGATCGATCGATTAGAACTGAAAATTATGGTTTATCGATCGATTTAGAAGGGTATGGGATCGTTTATCTGTCGATTTAGGGTTGGAATCGAATCGAAAAGGGATCGATTTCAAGGGAGTTTTGGGATTTCGGGAATTAGGGTTCGTGGAATAGAAAGTGATTTGGGGATTTTTAGCGATTAAGGGTTAATCGGGGTTTAGTGGGCTTAGTAAAATTATTGGGCCTGTTAATGGGATTAGGGTTGGGCTCAATTAGCGAGTTTAATTTTGGACCTTTAGTAGGAGATCAGTCGCTATTCAGTCGGTAAAATTCTAATTTTTTGTAAAAAAAATCAACATAATTTATCTTACAACACAACAATTTTATTCATGTTTTGTAATCATAAACATACACAGATTAATAAGGATTCTCTTCGTCTTCATCTTCATCATCAGATGATGATAAATTACACATAAATTCATCTTCTGGTTCTGCATCTCCGACATCAAAATCGAGATTTAGCGGGTTTACTCTGTGTACTCGATTTTCAACAATGATATCTTCAATTGTGGTCAGCATAACTGCATCATCACTCTCTTGTTGCAAGAGAGTTGGTTCTTTATCTTCATAATTTCCTGAAATATTCCCTCTTAGATTCACTTGTAAGACGTTTAGCCACATCTGCTTTGGTTTTTTTCGGGTTGGATATGGAATATAACATATTTGATCTGCTTGGGAGGCTGTGGAATACAAATATGAATACCAAATGAATATATCATCATTATATTTATTGAGTTAGATATAAATTTATATATTTATATATCATGCGTACCTAGAATAAATGGTTCGTATTTGTTGTACTTTCTTGATGAAAGAACGTCAACGACACCACCATTGCTCCTTCGAGTGCCTCTACCAATTAAAGGGTCATACCACTCACACTTGAAAAGTGTGATTTTCAAATTTGTCATCCCCTTATACTCTAGTTGTATGATATCAGTTAAGATCCCGTAAAAATCAGCTTCATCAGATGCATCGGTGTAGTTTTCTCCTTTAACACACACTCCAAAGTTACATGTCTTCCGTCCTCTGCCATGGTTATGTGTATGAAACAAATATCCTCTCATAAAGTAAATAGGCCAGGTTTTGGCTTTATTTACTGGTCCGTGAACTATATCCTGAACCCAAATAGGAAAAGGATTTGTGGCGTTCCAGTAAGTAACCTGCACATATAAATATATGTATACATTACTAATTTGTTGATAGCAAAAGTACATAGTTAGTAAACATATAGAAAACGTACATAATTCTTCACCCATGAAGGATATTCGTCAGCTCTTTTTTTAGCGACTTCTTTATCAGAGAGTTGTGGATATTTTGTGCAAATATAATCCTCAAACATCCTGTATAAAGGGTTGTAAGTAATGATACTAGAAATGATACTAGATTATACATCTGAAAAGGATGAAATTCGATATACCTCTCAAAGGGTTGAAAGTAATTGCAATTTCGCAAAACATATGCATGTGCAATTTTGTGATCTTTTTCTGAAAGCCATATTTCATGCATTTGCCCACTTGGCCGACCTACGTGAGTAAATATATCAGGAACTCCGGGGACATCATATATAGGGACTTCACCTTCGTCAAATCTTGTTAACCTGTGCAATATTTAATAATAAAAATGAATTCACATATTAATGTAAAATTACCTTGGCCATTATAGACTAATTATAAATATGAATTCACAGTTTTGGAGTTTACCTTGATTTCGTTTGTATATGATTGGAAAAGTAATGCTCCGTAAAATAAGCAATCTCGTCATTGATATATGATTCAACAATTGATCCTGATGCATATTTTTTATTTTTTGCTTTTGCTTTCAGTTTTTTAAAAAACCTTTCAAAAGGATACATCCACCTATACTGCACGGGGCCTCCTAATTCAGCTTCATAAGGAAGGTGTATAGGCAAGTGCTCCATTACGTCGAAAAATGATGGTGGAAAAATCTTCTCCAAATTGCATAAGATTAGGACTATGTTTTGTTTTAAGATTTGGATCCTGTTTTTTTGCAAAGTTCTTGAACATAAGTCATGAAAGAATCCTCCAATACCTAGATATATGAAAGTTCAATTCAGAATAAATTACTATAATCAGAACTTTTACATGTATGTACCATTAAATCGACTAAAGTACCTGATAATGCTAGGTGGACATTACGGTCCAAGAGTTCTGAAAAGATAAATGGAAGTAGCCGTTCCATAAAAACATGGCAGTCATGCCGGAAAGCTTTCCTCTTTCTATATCAACACAAGCAGCTAAGTCTGACGCATAACCGTCAGGAAATTGTACCCCTTTCACACATTCCAATAATCTTCTTCTATCAGCTTCTTCCAATGTGTATACTGGAAAAGGAGCTTGACCATTTTCAGCAAGATGTACGTGTGCCCGATCACAAAATCGTTCTATATCCAACCTTGACTTGATATTGTCTTTTGATTTACCCGCAACACTCATTAGAGTATTCATGATGTTATCAAAGAAATTCTTCTCTATATGCATCACATCAAGATTATGTCGGAGATTGAGGTCCCTCCAGTAAGGCAACTCCCAAAATATACTTTCTTTGTGCCAGTTATGCCACTTCCCATATCCGGGCATCTTTTTTTCATGACCGTTTCCACCGCAATCAGACGTTTTTGCAGGATTGACAGTTTCTATTCGCTCACTATAAACTTGTTCACCTGTCAAAGACTGTGGTGGTGACTCATTTATAGCGTGTCTACCCTTCAAAAAGTCTTTTCTATTCTTTCGTAATGGATGACCATGAGGGAGAAACCTCCTATGACAATCAAACCAACACGTCCTCCTTCCATTAGGCAGATAAAATGCCTTTGTATCGTCCATACAAATTGGACAAGCCAATCTACCATGGGTCGTCCATCCTGACAACATGCCATACGCCGGAAAGTCGCTTATCATCCACATCAGCACAACCTTTAGTTTGAAATTCTGCTGCAAAGATACATCGTATGCATTGATTCCAGTTGACCATAATTCTTTTAACTCCTCGATAAGAGGTCGGAGGAAGATATCGAGACTAGCACGCGGATGATTTGGCCCAGAATTCAGTATTGTGAGGAACAAGTACTCAGTCTTCATGCACATACCAGGGGGTAAATTATAAGGAGTCAAGATCACAGGCCATAATGAATGATTACGAGACATGCCAAATGGATTGAATCCATCTGTACATAACCCAAGATACATGTTACGGGGTTCTTCAGCAAATTGGGGATGTAGATCTTGAAAATATTTCCACTCTGCAGCATCACAGGGATGACACATTTCGCCCTCCTTTGCATGGTTTTCAGCATGCCATCTCATTGTCGCTGCAGTCTTCTGGCTCTGATACATCCTCTTTAATCTATCACCAATAGGTAGATACCACATACGACTATATGGTATTCTGGTTCGTGAACGTCGTCCTTTGTTAGGTTTATATCTGGGTGACTGACAAAATTTACACTCCTCCCACATTTCATCTTCTTTCCAGAAGATCATACAATTGTTAATACAAACATCGATTTTATGAAACGGAAGCCCCAAATTTCCCATCAATTTCTCTGTCTCGTAATGTGACTTGGTTGACTGATTTCCTTCTGGTAAATACTCCGTAAACAAAGATGCCCACGAATCCACACACTTTTCACTCATATTATAATCTACCTTATTTTGCATGAACCGAGCAGCTAAAGATAACTGCGAGTGACCTTCATGACAACCATCATGTAATGGTTTTTTCCCAGCTTCTAACAAATCGTAAAATTGTTGGGGATGGTTACCTACATTCTGATAACTATCATCTTGATGATAATTACCATGAAATGCATCATTCACCATATCCACATATCTATCTCCTACTACATTACCCACATCTTCTTCACTCCAACTTAAATGAGTTGTATTACCATAACTAGTTCCATAATCCATAGTAATTTCTTCCCCATGCTTATACCAAATATAGTAATCTGGCATGAACCCTTTACTGTACAGATGATTCCAAATTTTGTTCCCCGACAAAAATTTATTATTTTTGCAAACACTACAAGGACAGTAAAATTTACCGCCATTACTCTGTGCTAGCGTTTGGTTGTTTGCAAAATTCATAAATTGTTCCACCCCGGAAACAAATTCCGTTGAGAAATTTCCCGTCTCTTCATCGATCCGTCTATACATCCACTCTCTATTACTATTATTACTGAAATTTCCAGACATTATATCTTAGAAACGCTCTCAGAATTTCAGAGCTTGTGTTTGTGAATGAATGGAAGAGAGATGCGTTGTGCTGTATATATAGAAAAATTTGCGACTACATTGCTACTATTTTCCGACTACACTGCGACTGCACAGTTTTAGTCGCAAAAAACCGGTACACCTACCAAAAAAATCATAACACGTGTTATAAATTATGCGACCCGCCGCACAAGTCGCAATGTAGTCGTTAATTAACGACCAAATTACGACTGTTTTAATTGGCAAAAAATCAGCGACCCTTTTACGACTAAATTACATTAGTCACTAAATAGACGTAAAACAGTCGCTAAACAGTCGGAACTATTTACGACTGTTTTATCCGTCGTAAATGGCAGTCGCTAATTTCATGTTTTCTTGTAGTGCAGGTAGAGCACATGATTCAAAGGTATTAACTCATTGTGCGAAGTATGAAGTATCTTTTCCACATCCGTCTAATGGAAAGTATTATCTAGTTGACTCCGGATATTCCACGAGGACAAGATATCTTGGTCCACATCGTAAGATGCGATATCATATTGATCATTTTGCTAAAAGAGGACCACTTACAAGCACACGAGAGTTGTTCAACCGAAAGCATTCGAGTTTGCGATCATTTATTGAACGAACATTTGGCCTATGGTAAACAAAATGGAGGATCTTGGATCGTAGACATCCAAAGTATGGTTTGACTAAGTGGATCAAGTTTGTAACAGCGACGATGGTATTACACAACTTCATACATGATATAGATAAGGAAGATTATGACTTTCTACGTTGGCAAAACAAAGAAGATTTTCATATTCATGGTGATGAAGAAGGAGGGGAAGAAGATGAAGAAATTGATGATAGTAGCAGTGATGATGATGGTGGACATATTCGTTATGAGCCGAGCGGTGATAAAGAGATGGAAGCTTTGCGTGACACTCTCACAACTGAATATAGTACCGTAGTCGATTACCTTATTAGATATTTCAGTTTATGATTCTTTTTTCCGTATTACTTTTGTTTTGTTATACTATATGACTTAATTTATGATATGGTTTATTTTATTTTAATGATTTAGTTCATCCTTTTTGTTTAAATAAATTGTATGTTTTATCACAAAGATTATAGTTGTATGTATAATTAGATTTGATAAAAAAAAATATTACTATAATTGCAAACTATTTTTTATAGATTTATTAACTATTTAAAGTATATTTTTATTAAAAAAAATATATAATTTATAGATAATTAAAACTTTAAATAAAAGAATACTTTAGTAAAAATAAAAAAACCGATGGATGGTTAGCAAACGAACAAAGCTGCGTAATATGCAATCAGACGCAGTGTTTAGACGCACTACTACAAAACGAATAAACCTACGCCCAGTCGCAGTGACTAGACACGCGACTGACAAATAAACAACAATCAGCTGCGTTTAGTCGTGGTGTCTGGCTGCAGATCGCAGCCGCGGCTGACAAACGAACATGCCTAAATGAGATTATTTAAACTATAAAGTTACATAAATTGTTATTTTAAAAAAAAATTATAGTTTTTTGTCATTTTTAAAAAGTGTTACCTATACATTTCAAAATCAAGAAAATGAATTTATTCCACTCGAACCAAAACCCAAATAAATTCCAAACAACATTCAAATTAGAGCAGAGAGTCTAGAGTGGAGCAAAGCTTTTCTAGCTTCCGCCACAAAACGCTACCGTCGAATAATGCCACGAGAACCACCACATTATTTTCTGACCACCTCCTCTAAACCACCCTCAAAACTCAATAATCGAGGTAGCTTCCCTAAATCATCAAAAGTGATAATAATAATTTTTTGAAGTTTTCAATAAATACATATATTATCCCCCGAACAAGTTTTATGAGAGAAAATATCCAAAAAAAAAAACCAATAGATCCGTCGTCATTAAGCCTATGAACAAACAAGTGGCACAGGTACCTTTGCTTACGAGATATATCTCGCACGAGAGAAACATCCGTAAATGGTACTGACACGTGTCAACGCACTAGCGAAGTTGCGTTCGCTGAGTCCACGTCAGCAATCCGGCCGTCTCTCCCAACCAAAACGACGGTTTAAAAAAATAAAAGCTTCCTCCCAATTTTCTCCTCTTTAAACAAAAAAAATTCATCTCTTTCTCGATATAATCTGTGAGAGCGTCTTCTTCTCACGAAACCCTAATCTTCCAATTCCGCTACATTTTCCCGAAAATCCTTCTACTCGGATCTCGAATCTGTATTCTCAGCTGCTGAAATCTCCGGTGAGTTTCCCAGACTGATAGTTCAACTTTAGGGTTTCAATTATCGCCGTTCGTATCGTTTTTGATTTTTTTGTATGCGTCTTTGATTTCCGATCCCAATCGTTCGATTCATTTCCAGATTAATTATTCGTCAATTCGATTTGGTTTTTTGTGTTGTGTTAAGTGTAGTCATGTTTTTATAGCTTCTTCTTCTTCTTCCTCCTCCTATTTCGTTAATTACTGTAACTTGTGTTGTGTGTTCATGTTTATAGCTTCTTCTTCATCTTAATTCGTTTCCAAGATTGGAACTTGTGTCAGTTTCATGTGTTGATTTCGAACGGTTAAGTAGTTCTCCATTTATGGCTGTTCTTGTTCTGCTTTTTCGTGATTAGGGGGACGTTGCAGCTTTTGAGCTAGTAAAGGTGGTAATTTTCTTAGTGGGGGATGATTCGGATCTAATTTTCCAAGAAAATTTTGGGAATCTTGATGATTTCTAGGGGAATGCAGAGAACGTTTTGCTGCGAGTGCTGGAAGGAATCCCTCTGTCAAGGGATTGTCATCGTAGGGCCTAAAGCAAGAACCAGGGACAAACCTTGGGATAACCTCTAATTCCCGATATATCCAATTTAAGGCTTTTCAAGGACAAAGAACATGACTCGGATTTTGGTTCAACGAGGTTCAGCTGGCAGTTCTTCTAACTCAAGCCGTGCTTCTTCCTCTTCCTCGTCTGGCTCGTCTTCTTCCTCAGGAACAGAGCCACAGACGAGCAGTAATGTTCAGGTTCCTCCAGTAACTATTGATGAAGAAGTTATTGATGAGAAACAAGAAGAGGTTACTGTAGCTGAACAAGCAGAGTGTTCTGAAGCTAAGGATGTATCACTGCTCAGTGATGATCCTGCGGATAGAGAAGATGTTGAAGCGTTGGTGGTTTCGGAAAATGTTGATGTTGAAAGTGAAGGTATAGTCTCTGATTCTCCAGTTAGTGTTGGCGATGACCCTGATTCACCACCCTTGCCTGTTCCGCCACCAAAGCCCTCTTCGAATGTTGCTCCTGGTAATAAGAGGTCGGTCTTGGGAAGTTTTGGCGCTTTACGAATTGGTGCAACGAGAAGAGGAGCTGGTCCTCGCTCTCTTGTTTCCACTAGGAGTTCGCCAACTGGATCTCGTCCTTCTTCTCCTAGATCACACAGTGAGAACGAAGGCTATAACAGTTCCGATGAGCATATGCCATGCTTTGTACCCTCTCATGCTGGCTCTGGCTTGGTAAGTTAGTTTTCAGAACTAAATTTCAGTTCTTTTTACTGTATGGATTCTTTGCTTGTTTTTTATGGACCTATGTTAACGATTATGTTTAATTCCTATGCTACAGGAAAGAGAACATCAGTTTGAAGCCGAGATTAGACAATCAAAAGGATTTGAAATTAGGCGTATGTTGGAAGATGGAAATTGTCTTTTTCGGGCTGTTGCAGATCAAGTATATGGGGACTCAGATTCGTATGACTTGACTAGGCAAATGTGCATGGATTACATGGTAAATTTTTTCGTTTGCTGAGCTAGATTTTAGACCAGCAGATGCATTAGATTAGCGAACTGATTTGCTTATGAGAACTGCATGTGGGAAAGATATATTGAATCAACAAGATTGCACCTTATAGATAGGCTATTCACCGTGTTTCATGGCCAATGTATTGCATTCTTAGTTTCTGGTCGTCCATCCACCAGGATAGGATTCACAGTTCAAGCATAATCTTTCCATTTTAACCGCTAATATTATATGACTATATGCTGGGGTCCAAGACAGCATCAGTCTTAGTTCAGGTGGATTGAAAGAAAGTAAGAGAGTAGCAACAGCGAGTACATGTATGAGTTAATAATTTTCCTTTTAATATGGTGTCGTTAATCTTTACATTTTTCCTCATGTGCCTTGATTTAGACCGTGCACAGAAGTAGTGTTTTTAGTTTTTGATGGTAACAATTGGTAGAACTTACTGGTTTCACCATGGATGGTTTAGGAACACGAGAGGGATCACTTTTCTCAGTTCATAACTGAAGGGTTTAACTCTTACGTGAAGAGGAAAAGAAGAGATAAGGTGCTTTGCTCTTATCAATATTGTCACTTTTGTTGATTTTGTTCCAACAATTTATTTGACTCCTCTTTACTCAATGGTGATAGGTCTATGGAAACAACGTGGAGATCCAAGCTTTAGCAGAAATGTATAATAGGCCTATCCACATTTACTCTTACAGCACAGGTGCAACTTAGATCAACACTGAAAGCTCTTCATCTTTTTACTGTAATAAGAAATTTATGGAAACAAGATTGTTTTTTTTTCTTTGGTTACAGAGCCTATTAACATATTTCAAGGGAACTACAACACCGATACACCTCCCATAAGGCTGAGTTTCCACCACGGGAATCATTACAATTCGTTGGTGGATCCACATCGGTTGACAGTTGGTGCAGGCCTTGGATTTAGTAGCCTTAGTGGGGTAAGTATCTTCTTTGTTCAACTGATGGAAAAGAGGGGAACTCAAACTAGAAAGGTCGCAAATCTTTGTGTTTTTTTCCTTTTTCTCATCGTATTTCTTGTTTTGAATCCAGAGACACGTGGACGGGGAGCAGGTGAAAGCTGCTATAAAGGCTCAGCAAGAACATCAGATTGATAATGCAAGTGTAGCTCATATCATCCCATAATTCTCCAAATCTCCGTGAGTGTAGTATGACTGCTTATACGCGTTGGTCTTTGTTCCAGGCGCTCTTAGCAGAAGGGAGATATTACTCTGATCTTGAGCTTACGGAAAAGGAAATCGAACGGTCGGTAATGGAAGCCTCCCGTGCTGAGTATCTTACGGAATGGTCTAAGCCACGAATTGGTCCCAAGGAATCATCCACCTCGAACGCTGAGACGTCTTCCTCTGGAGCTAGTGAGTAGTTTTTTCTTTTGAATATACACTGAGAAAAGAAGCATTATTGAGACGAGTAAGAATTTTTTGTGAAGCAGGAACCTCAGGAAGTGAGGCAGTAAAAGAACAGGCGGTGCTGAGCAGCAGCATTGAGATGGTTTTGTCGATGGGATTTAGCTACACGCAGGCCATGGAAGCTTATAGCATTTTCGGGGATGATGTTGACTCTATGGTCTGCTATGTACTGGAGACGAGCTGTGGCGGCAACAACCGACGCAAAGGCAAAGCCGCGGAATAGAGAAAATGTGACATGAGTTGCTCTGTATTGCTATATATGAAACCACCAATTCGTATTCCTACCAAGTATCAAAACGTTTGGGCGATTAATATTACCTTTATCAGAATACATGAATAAACTTCTGCATCATGACATGTATGTGTATGTTTGTGGTCTCTGTACTCTTAGTTGTACTAGTTGAATAAGAGAGAAAAAGTAAAACACTTTTCTATTGCTAACAACGTGACAACCAAGGAAATTTAGAGATCCACACTATTCCCATACAGTAGTTTTTACCCTTTCCTGATTAGGAAGAATTTTCTTTGTAATCACTTTAGTCATGTGGAGCAAGAGTCTCTTGATCTTCTCTTCCTTTCCTAAAGCACCAAGCAATTGAAAACTCTTTCTGAAGTTTTGATTTCCTCAATTCTTTAGGCTGGGACAAGCAGTTCATCGTGGGGTGAGTCAAGCTGAAGGTAATAAGCAGGATTCAAAGCTTCTGGCTACTAAGAATCTGGCATCATTTGCTGATGAGTACAGAAAACTTGCGAAGATGTGCTTAGTCTAAAATGCAAAATTTGCATTGAATCTATCAAATGTGAAGAAATAAAAGTAGTCTGCTATCTTTGAATAACACAAATTTCTGAGTGTTGCTTTACGCGCTCATGATTTGTATACTTGTAGAGCTGAATTAAGTTTTTAAAAAAACACCACAAGAAAATAATATATTATTTCAGTTAATTAATGTATAACCTAAGTAATATAAAACTCTTTCTGAAGTTTTGGTTTCCTCAAATCTTTAGGCTGAGACAAAGTAATATCAGGAATCAAAGCTTCTGGCTACTAGGAATCTGGCATTTGCTGATGAGTACAGAAAACTTGCGAAGATGTGCTTTAGTCTAAAATGCAAAATTTACATTGAATCTATCAAATGTGAAGAAATAAAGTAGTTTGCCATGTTTGAATAACAACACAAATTTCTTCAGATTTGTATACTTGTAGAGATGAATTAAGTTTTAAAAAAGAAAAACACTACAAGAAAGATAATATATTAACTTCAGTTAATCAATGTACAACCTAAGTAATATAGAATATTAGTTTAGGTAAACATATTATCTCAGGGAAGAGTCATCGGTTGACTAAAATCACTCCATAGCAGAAAGCTATATTGGCACTGGAAGAAAATGTGATCCCACGATTTTGGTATTGAAATTGCAGAGCACGCAAGTGACATCAATTTGTTTACATACAATTATTATTATCGTTATTGTTTTTATTTGTTTTTATTTAATTATTATTATCGTTATTTATACACTTAGGTTTTTGGTAGTTTGTCTAACGATTACATATCATTTACCAAAATCCATATTTAGTATTGTCATCATTCAAATTCTTTACTATTCAAACTATTACATAGGTGGATTTGTAGCTACTGCATGTTGACTAATAAAATTATACATGTTTCATAATTCGAATAACCAATATAAACCGTAGTAAAAAAAAAAGCTAGATTTTGGATCGATATTCTATTTGGTTCAAGAATCAAGATCGATCAATGCATAGTCGTAACAAAATTATCCTAGAATTGGTAAGTGTAAAATATGGAGATAAATATTGCAAAAATAAATAGGAAGATTTTCAGATAAACTTTTTTTTTAAAAAAATACGATTAATAAAAAAAAATTACAAGAAGTGGAGGCAAATATGATTTTTTCTTTAATCCAAAATATATCTCCTGCAGTGTGGTGATTTTTGAGATAACGAATCCCATGATACAACCACTGTAAAACTAAAATTGCAGCACCTAATTATAGAATCGACGAACTTATGTTCTATGATATACTCTCGGACTTAATTTCTGTAAAAACAAATGAAAAAAAATTGTTATATAGTGTGAGTTTTTTTTTGTGTAAAAAAAGAGAAAGTTTATAGTTATCGAAAGAGCAAATGAGGAAGACATATACATGGTTTATAGAGATGTCAACATGGGCCACAACCCGCTGGCCAGACCCATGTAGGTCTGCTGTGGGGCAGATCTGGACACACAATTGAGTGTCCATGATTTTGCGGCTTTAGTGGGTTGTATCCGTCGTGGGTTGCGGGTTTATTGGGCTAACCCATCACGATTTTGCGGGTTTGCGGGTAATCTGCAAAAGACGAAGCGTTCTTCAAAAAACAAAGTTTTCTGCACCAAATCGGTCAAAGGAAGCTAGTGATGTCACCACCACAGAGCTCTGCTACCATGAAATGGTGAAACGAGGATTCAAACCCTATTCCGTCACTTAGGGCATCTCCAATGTATAACTCCATAATTTTCTCTATTTTGGAGTAACTCTAAAATAGAGTTGTGTTTTACTCCAATGTAAGCTCCATTTTTTCTCTAAAATGGAGTCATGACCAAAACAATGGAGAAATTCTATTTTTTGCTCTATATTTGGAGTAACTTCATTTTTTACTCTATTTTAGAGTGGGATATGAAGTAGGGTTAGAGAGAATGTTGCCCCAAACTCTATTTTAGAGTAAAATTTGGAGTAGGGTTGGAGATGGTCTTACGGCAACAAAATTGATGGGTTCTGCAAAAAAACAAAACTTTGGCGAAGCCTTGAGGCTCTTTGAAGAAATGGATCGTGATAAGGTTACACCATGAACTCCGTATTTAGTATTGTAAACATTTTATTTAATCAACAATGCCTTAAGATGGATTTTTACACCATGAACTCTAATCAATTTGTATGTTTCATCATCATCAACTTTTGGATTTACCAAATTCAATTAAACTTTGAGGAACTCACTAGTTAGCTAAAAAGGATATCAATTTGGCTTCTTATGAAGTATGGCAACTCTAAATTATAAAGTGGTGAAGTTTCAATATGTTATGCCATTGTCTTTTTTTTTCTAAACCGGCAAAGCTTCACAACGTAATAATTTTGGACTAATTGGACGCGGGCCGGCCCGTCTGACATTTCTAATGGTTTATATCCTTAAACATGAAACTGAAAATCATGTTATAATGGAGCCATTAACCTCACGTATTAAATGCTATAATGGAGAATCATTCTACTCCCTCCGTTTCACAAAGAGTGTCGTTCTGACACTATTTTTTTGTTTCAAAAAGAATGTCGTTTTAGAATTCCAATGTAATTTTTAGCATAAAATACCATTTTTAACCTCAATAAATTCAGAAAATTAATTATAAATATAATTCCAAGAGTCATTTTCTGCAAATTAATAAAGGTATAAAAGACCTTTTATCTTATTTCTTAATTTGTGTGAAGAATGTCAGAATGACACTTATGTGAAACGGAGGGAGTATTGTTTAACCATGAGAGTAAATTGAGATGATATTGATATCTAATTAAATTTTTTTTTTTTTGTATTTAAATTAACTCAAAAGGTTGAAACGATTTTTGTTCTAAGAAATAAGTTAATAGACACAAAGTCTAATTAGCTGAACCCAATCTATCTGCTCCATTTCTCATTCACACTTTACCAAATTAATAAACCATTGGACTTGTGAAAATTTGGTCCAACAATCCCCCACATTAATAGAAATGACTCTAGACATATGAAGACCGAACTGAATCGATAAACTAGACTTGACTAGACTAGACGCAAATTGACTAGACTAGACAGACTTTCAAGACTATATGCAAAAAATCATTGTGTTTGAGATGGTAGTGTGTTTCAACCTTGAACCACTCAATGTTAATATCTGTTGAGTTTACTTGGCCATGAGGTGAACATGATGTCTTGAACCACCCAGATTTTTATGTGAACTGAGATAACAGATACAACCCAATTTCATTTATCTCGTAGAACTTAGTTCTCGATTGTGTTCATTGTGGCCTTGAACTTCCCTGGTTAATCATGAGTGAACTTGGAGAACATAACCTGTTTTTCATTCTCCTAGAAACGGTCTCATTTCACACTCACTAGGTGATTTGCCAATGGTCTTTGTTTTAAGAAATGTTTTGAACACTCCGCTGATATATCAAAGCTATGGTCTTATCATTAAAAGCTATGTTTATCCTTGTAGATATACAATGAGCATTGTATGTAAGAACTGTTTATCATCTTGGGAACTAAGTAAAGATAATAAGTCTTTCAGCGTGTTAGATTTTTTTTTTACTTAATTTTCTCTTTTGAACCTAACATCTTGGGATCTCCAGTCACGTAGGTGGGGTGTCCATCAAATATCCTCTTAAGTCATAGGCTTTAAACCCATTCCCTTCGATGATTTTAATACTTGATCATGAGCTAAACCCTTGGTAAATGGATCTGCTAGATTATCAGTTGATTTTATGTAATCTATTGAGATTACTCCAGTTGTGATCAAGCTTCTAATGGTTTTATGTCGTTTTCTTATATGACAAGATTTACCATTATAGAGATTATTCAGTGCATGGGCGATGGCCGATTGGCTATCACAGTGTGCACGTATTGCCGGGACCGGGTTTCTCTCACATTGAAATATCGGAAAAATGTGTTCAAAGAAAGAAACATTCATTGATTCCATTATTGTATTCACAGGAATATCCGGTACATTTTATGAACCAGAAACCGATAGACACTACTATTGTATGCATATCCAATGAAAATACAATCAACGGTTTTATGTCCTATTTTGGAGGTGGCACAATGACTTTTGCTAAGCACCCCTACACTTTCAGGTATTTGAACGAAGGTACTCTACCCATCTATAGTTCATATGACGTTTTGCTAGTTACTTTGTGCAGTATTTTGTTAAGGAAATATTTTGTAATGAGAACTGCTTCCCCACAGATTCTGGCGTAAGATTCCTGCAGCATTGCATTTATCATTTCTTTAAGATTTCGGTTTTTGCGTTCCGCAACTCTGTTATATTCTGGTGAGTAGGGAGCAGTGGTTTGATGTATAATGTCTTTTTCTTGACAAAAGACATTAAATGGACCATCATATTCACCCCCTCTATCACTTCTAACTATTTTAATAATTTTTTCGAGTTGATTTTCAACTTTGGTTTTATATTCTTTGAATTTTTCCAAGACTTCATCTTTACTTCTTAGTAAATAGATGTAGCAGTATTTTGTACAATCATCTATGAAAGATACAAAATACTATTTACTTCTACTAGATTGTAGTAACTTTAGATCGCACAAATCTGTGTGTATTAGACCTAGAGATTCAGTAGTTCTTTCATCATGAAATGATGGAGTTTTTATGAGTTTTGCTTAGACACAGGTCTTACATTCTTGTGTGTATTATCCCAACCGTAAAGGAATGAGATGATGGCTTTCTTTTGTAGCCCAAATACTCAACAAGAGCCATGAAGTGGGTATAGATGTTTTGATTCTCACATAATGACTTGAATTAAGTTTGTATGTTATAAAAGAAATTCAAATTTGAAATTGTCATTATGAATTTTAAGGGAGAATCAATTGTCTTCATAAATTCATGATTGAAATGTTACAAAATCAATCAGTTTTTATTTGTGTTGTTGCACAACACTAATGAGATATTATGCATTGTTGATTTAATCAAATAATTAGCAAATGAATTTTAGGTAAAAAAATATTACTCTTTTTTGCCTAGTTCTAAAATCCGAGGCCATCCGGATATCTCATTTCTCCATATATTAAGGTTTTAGACTTTATGATAATTTCTCCATTTTATAGACAAGATAAATTTCACCTTGTGTTTCCAATATAGAATATTTAACAAATGTGTATTTTTTAAGTTTTATGAGCAACCCACTTTGGACTTCCATTTACTGATTTTTAATGTTTTTGGAATGAGTTTCATAGCCACATTACTTATAGTCTTCAACTATAATTAACTGAAAGTTGTGACTTAAAGGATCCTTTTTAATTCACGCATCATGATACGATCATGGACCCAGAGGACGACCCAAACAATGGAATCGAGGTTCCGGAAGCACATTTGGCCGTACCGGATGGACCCATGACGCGATCCAGAGCTAAGAAGCTGGCAGGGACGGTTCAGGCTGTACTTAATGGAATCAAGATCAAACCAGGCGACCCAGCATCACCCAAGATTGTGACCGTGCTCATGAACGCCGGCTGTAACTAATCTGGTCCGGGTGATGGCTTAATACTCTTTTTCCTTACACCCGGGTTTGTCCCAATGGGTTTACCGGGTTGGGTTTTAATGAGGTTAAGTCCATTGCCCATCTCTCGACCTAGGTTTGTTTGCGGTCTGGTTCATGGGTCGGCAGCGCAAGAGTCATTTTCGGCTTGGCAATTCAAGAGTCAGTCAAAGGCCAGCCGAAGAGTCAGTCCTTAGTTTATTTATTTCAGTCAAAGACTTTATTAATTTTCTGTCATTTTTGAGTTTGTCTCTTGAACTACTTCGCCTCCTATATCAAGGCTTGTACCCCTTCTCATTTGGGATTCATTCACTTATCAAATAAAAATGAGATTTTTCCTTTGTTCTTTTTGAACTTTTCGATTCCTTAGGTGGTTAGCCTCTTGAATCATTTCGGTTTATCAAGTTCAATCCATAGAACTTGACGCAGCCTTCGCCTGCAAAGTTTAAGTTTCCGTTAGTAGTAATCAGGGCTTAGGGATTTTCGGGAATCCATTTCCCACGCCCTAACAAGACCAGATCAAACTCGAGCAAAGCCACAAAGGAAAAAGCGTTGTGAGTGACCCTCTAAACACTTCCACTAAATCTGAGTGTCTGAGAAAAACCCCAGAAACGGCCTTAGAGAGTTTACCCGTGAGAAAAGAAACCCTTTTTGTGAGGCCAAGTGAACTTAAGCACGCCGTGCTTACGAGACAATCCTTTGTCTTGTTAATGTTTAGAAATGCTTTGGCTAGCCTTACTGACCGTGAGCCAGATCTTCCGAGCAGCGTCTTGCCTCTTTTGCAGGAATACAAGGACGTCTTTCCAGAAGAAAGCCCAAGTGGATTACGTCCCATCCGCGGAATAGAACATCAGATCGATTTTGTTCCTGGTGCGTCCTTGCCAAACCGACCCGCGTATCGAACCAACCCTGTTGAAACAATGGAACTACAGCGGCAGGTCGGAGAGCTGATGGAGAAAGGACATATACGAGAGAGTATGAGTCCTTGCGCGGTCTCGGTCTTACTTGTGCCAAAGAAGGACGGCACTTGGCGTATGTGTGTTGATTGTCGTGCAATCAACAATATCACGGTAAAATACAGACATCCCATTCCTTGTTTGGATGATATGCTTGATGAACTTCACGGATCTTGTCTTTTTTCTAAGATAGATTTGAAAAGTGGCTATCACCAAATAAGGATGAAAGAGGGGGACGAATGAAAAACAGCCTTTAAGACAAAGCATGGGCTTTACGAATGGTTGGTAATGCCGTTTGGCTTAACAAACGCCCCTAGCACTTTCATGAGACTTATGAACCATGTCTTGCGGTCGTTCATATGCGTTTTTGTTGTTGTGTACTTTGATGATATCTTAGTCTATAGCAAGAACTTGGCTGAGCACTTAGAGCATTTGCGGTTAGTCTTAGAAGTGCTTAGGAAGGAGCAATTGTTTGGGAACTTGAAAAAGTGTACTTTTTGCGCGGATAGTGTTGTGTTCCTAGGCTTTGTCGTAGGTGCCAATGGGATCCAGGTCGACGAAGAGAAGATCAAGGCGATCAAAGACTGGCCCAGTCCCAAGACGGTTGGAGAGGTCCGAAGCTTTCATGGCCTGGCCGGTTTCTACCGATGGTTTGTAAAGGACTTCAGTACCATAGCAGCGCCTCTCACCGAAGTAATCAAAAAGGTCGTTGAATTTAAATGGGGCACGGCACAAGAAGAGGCATTCCAACTCCTTAAAAACAGGCTAACTCATGCACCTCTCCTTTCTTTGCCTGATTTTATGAAAACCTTTGAAATTGAGTGTGATGCCTCTGGTGTAGGTATTGGTGCGGTCCTAATGCAAGAGAAGCGGCCTATTGCCTACTTCAGTGAAAAGCTTGGTGGCGCGACCTTGAACTATCCCACCTACGACAAGGAGCTTTATGCCTTGGTCCGTGCGCTCCAAACCTGGCAACACTACCTCTGGCCAAAAGAGTTTGTGATTCATACGGATCATCAATCTCTTAAACACCTCAAGGGCCAGCAGAAACTGAATAAGCGGCATGCCTGATGGGTGGAGTTTATTGAAACATTTCCGTACGTGATCCAGTACAAACAGGGAAAGGAAAACGTTGTGGCCGACGACTTGTCCCGCAGATACACCCTGATCTCAACCTTAGACGCCAAGGTCCTCGGTTTTGAAATAATCAAAGAAGCCTACACCTCCGATCCAGATTTCCAGGAAGTTTATCAATCCTGTTCTAAATTTGCCACTGGAAAATATTTTCGGAGTGATGACTTCTTGTTTTATGAAGACCGCCTTTGTATACCTAATGTCTCCCTTCGTGATCTGCTTGTTAGGGAAGCTCATGGCGGCGGTTTGATGGGACACTTTGGAGTGGCCAAGACTCTTAGTGTGGTCCAGGATCATTTCTTCAGGCCGCACATGAAAAGAGATGTGGAAAGAATTTGCGGCCGATGCATCACCTGTAAGTATGCGAAATCCAAAAGCCAATCCCCAGGTATGTACACTCCCTTACCCATTCCTAGCTCTCCTTGGACGGACATTTTTATGGATTTTGTATTAGGATTGCCAAGAACTAGGACGGGTCGGGATTCTGTCTTTGTTGTGGTCGATAGGTTCTCAAAAATGGCGCACTTTATACTTTGTCATAAGACTGATGATGCGTCTAATGTGGCTGACTTGTTCTTTAGAGAAGTGGTTAGGTTGCATGGAATGCCTAGGACTATAGTTTCTGACCGTGATGTTAAATTCCTTAGTTATTTTTTGAAAACACTTTGGTCAAAACTAGGTACTAAGTTATGCTTTTCCACCACTTGCCACCCACAGACCGACGGCCAAACCGAGGTCGTTAATAAAACCTTGTCTGCACTACTTCGTTCTGTTATTAAAAAGAATCTTAGGACGTGGGAAGATTGTCTACCACATGTAGAATTTGCTTATAACCATGCGGTTCATTCAACTACATTGTTCTCCCCGTTTCAAATGGTTTATGGTTTTAACCCTCTTACTCCTCTTGATCTTACGCCTTTACCTTTATCTGAGCGTGTAAGTATGGATGGGAAGAAAAAGGCCGAGCTTGTCAAGCAGATTCATGAGAAGGCCAAGCAGAACATTGAAAGAAAGACCGAGTTTTACAAGTAGCACGCTAACAAGGGCCGGCGCCAAAAGGTATTTGAACCAGGCGATCTAGTATGGATCTATTTGAGGAAGGACAGGTTTCCGGAGGAAAGAAAGTCCAAGTTATTGCCTCGTGTGGATGGTCCCTTTACGGTCCTTGACCGGATCAATGACAATGCCTACAAGATTGACTTACGAGGTAAGTACTTAGTCAGTACCAGCTTCAACATTTCTGACCTCATTCTCTTTGTCGCAGATGGACCAGACTTGAGGACAAGTCCTTTCCAAGAGGGGGAGGATGATACGATCATGGACCCAGAGGACGACCCAAACAATGGAATCGAGGTTCCGGAAGCACATTTGGCCGTACCGGATGGACCCATGACGCGATCCAGAGCTAAGAAGCTGGCAGGGACGGTTCAGGCTGTACTTAATGGAATCAAGATCGAACCAGGCGACCCAGCATCACCCAAGATTGTGACCGTGCTCATGAACGCCGGCTGTAACTAATCTGGTCCGGGTGTTGGCTTAATACTCTTTTTCCTTACACCCGGGTTTGTCCCAATGGGTTTACCGGGTGGGGTTTTAATGAGGTTAAGTCCATTGCCCATCTCTCGACCTAGGTTTGTTTGCGGTCTGGTTCATGGGTCGGCAGCGCAAGAGTCATTTTCGGCTTGACAATTCAAGAGTCAGTCAAAGGCCAGCCGAAGAGTCAGTCCTTAGTTTATTTATTTCAGTCAAAAACTTTATTAATTTTCTGTCATTTTCGAGTTTGTCTCTTGAACTACTTCGCCTCCTATATAAAGGCTTGTACCCCTTCTCATTTGGGATTCATTCACTTATCAAATAAAACTGAGATTTCTCCTTTGTTCTTTTTGAACTTTTCGATTCCTTAGGTGGTTAGCCTCTTGAATCATTTCGGTTTATCAAGTTCAATCCATAGAACTTGACGCAGCCTTCGCCTGCAAATTTTAAGTTTCCGTTAGTAGTAATCGGGGCTTAGGGATTTTCGGGAATCCATTTCCCACGCCCTAACATCCTTTTACCGGCGATCTCTTTCTCTTTGTTCCACCCTCTTGTTCCAAGTTATTCTCCGCGAATTTGGGCCTAAGGATTTAGGGATTTATTCTCACGCCTTAGCATCTACTCCGAGATCCAGCTGGAGTCAAGGATCTATCCATCCGATACCGACCAAGTGTGTGCCGTTCTTTGGGAATCAGTATCACATCAGTTAACATTAAGGAGAATAAATCACCAGATGACTAATGCTTTGACCACGAAATTAAAGAAGAATATATTATGTTTTTAACTTATTAAAAAAAAATATATATACTTTATGGATTTGCTTTCTTGTAAATACAAGAGATAAACATGAATATGGTTTATTAGAAGAAGTTAATGAACATATGTCCAATTAACTAATCCATACATCCAATATGGAATTTGTAATTCTTTTGACACTTAGTCAAAATTTAAAAGCTTTTCAAGCTTTTTAAACATATGTTCAAAAGACACTTAAAAATGTCAGATTCTTAGAATAGAATCAATTAAATAGCAACTCAAAAATTAAGTCGTTAAGTAATGCGTTCTATGGATATCGCTATACAACGTTTCTAGAATTGGTTTGAGTTTTTTAACTCAAAAATCGTTCACGGATGTAGCCGGAATGCGAGATGAGTTGTAGACGTTTTTGGAAATTGTTAAACACTGTCCCATCTACGGTTTAAGATCTTTTTGATCTTTATGAAAGAGAATATTTCGTGTAACTTGCCAAATGCTTTTGCGGAAATCGTTATTTTGATAATTATTTTTTCCTAAGATCTTGGAAACTATCAGCAATAACCGGTTTGTAGAACGGTTGCATTGCAGAGAATAAAACGGTTGCGGAGAGCATTTTTGAAGGAGAAAAACATGATTTTTTTTTTCTGGAAACCGTTTGGAAAAGAAATTTTTGCAATATAAGATCCGATGAAAATCATATTATTTCAGAGTAAGACTGTAAATGTAAAATATGGAGACAAATATTGCAAAAATAAATAGAGAAGATTTTCAAAGAAAAAAATTGGAAATAGAATTAAGAAAAAAATACGAGAAGTGGAGGTGAGTATGACTTTTTCCTTACTCCGAAATATTTTCCGCAGTTTGGCGGTTTTTGAGATAATGAATTCCAAGATACAACAACTGTGAAACTATAATCGTAACACCCGATTATAGAATCAATGAACTTATATTCTATGATATATTCTCGGATTTCTTTTCTATAGAAGAAAAAAAATAAAAAAAATTATTGTGTAGTGTGAGTTTTTCTCTATGTATAAAAGAGAAAGTCTATAGTTGGAGAAAGAGCAAATGAAGAAGACATATACATAGTTTATATCCTCAAACATGAAACTGAAAATCATGTTATAATAGAGCCATTAACCTACGTATTAAATTAAATGCCATAATGGAAAATCATTCCATTCTCTTTTTTTTTTTAACGAGAAGGCGCATGCTATAAACCATGAGACATACAAAAAAAAAAAAACACTAATGTGACAAGGTAAAAATACTAATGTGAATAAAACACGAATGTGACAAGTAAACACGAATGTGACAAGAAGGCGCATGCAATCGTGTGTAAAAGAAAGTAATGAATGCTTTTTGTATTCTCTGACATGTAAACACAGTACAGGGTTTTGACACCTGCATATCCTTTTTTTTGGTTTTGTTCTAAAATCAAGTAAGCAAATATCGTTTCATGTTTTTTTTTTCTTTCTTTGTCGGAAATCTCAGAACTCTATAATTATATTTATAGCCATCAAGTATATTCATTTCTTAAGTAATAAGTTACAGACATCCTTTTAAAAATTATAACTATTAATAACCTATTAAACAGTATTAAAAAAACAAGATCGATCTCACCGCTAAAAATAAACAAAAAACTAATCTTAATTTGAAAAAAAACTTTTTGAAAATATTGATAAAAAAGTCGTATAACGTTGTTTTAGTTACAAACGCACATACTCATTTAGTATCTAAATGTTTTAAACTATGGCCTGATTGTTATTCACTCAAATTACTCTGTGTTTCTCTACTTTTTCACTGATCAAGTTAAAAACAGTAAAGAAATTGAGAAGCACTAGATGAGAAATTTTAACCATACTGATTGCTTTTGAATTTTTCTCTTGTATAAATTTGTTGGACTTGTATAATTTTATTAGTGTAAGTATTATTTTATTTAATAATTTACGCTGGTTTCATGTAAAGTATACAAAAACCAAAAAAAAGAAATGAGAGGGAAATTTTTTTCTTACCCGAGGAAGATATTTTATTTAATTTTCGCTTCATTCACCTTGTCTTTTCTGTCTTCCATACTTTTACTCTGCCAAATTTACCAGCCATAATCTCAATAAATCTGGTAAAAAAGACTTAACAAAGACAGAGCATCTCCAATAGTAAACAATTTTATGAATTTTTTAAGAGTTTTTTAATTTTTTTTTTTTTACTAACGAATAATTTAGAATCCCATCTTTTTTTTTTCTTTTTCCAATGACGAACTCCATTTGAGATTCATAAAAATAAATAATTAATATTTTTATAAATTATTTATTTGAAATATAAATTATTTTGTTAATAATTTTAAACATACTACAAATTATTCTGTATATCATTTATTTGAAATCATTTATTTGCAGTGTTTGTAACATATTACATAACTTTTTTACAAATCTAAGCCTATTTACACCAATCTTGAGCTATAGCGATCCTGCAAAACTATACACATTAATTGATCATATTTTGGCCTCTCTATTCTTCTTTGGTCTCCCTCCTCTTTACTACTGTTGAGCTTCGTTCAGCAATCTTTGTGGGTTCTGCCTGAATACATATTTCCTGCACCGGAAAATGTAAAAAGCCTAGAAGGAGAGACACTATGAGTCACTACGAACAATGAGAGTAGAATGTTCAACGGGAATTAGTGGGTGAGTCACGGATTTAGTGTTCAGTGCTCCATCATTGTCCTGCCAATCTTTTTTTTTTGAATGAATATTAAATTTTATTCAAACTCGAAAACAATAGCGTTTCTACATAATGAATGTGAGCTGTTAAATTAATAGCCCTAAGTATGAAAAAATTTACATCACTAAGATTATGTCTTTGGTCTTGATGCAAACCAGAGCTGCAGGCCTTCTTCGTAACGAGAATCACCCTGCAGATGAATGGCACTGAACTGGTTTATGATCCCTTTGTCGATGTCTTTGACTAGCTTTGAAGTTGGCTTTGAGTTTCCTCTGTGCCGTCTTTCATTCCCTTCTCTCCACAATCCATAAATGGTATACTGAAACAGGTATCGTATGATGTATGTTTTCAGTGTATTTTGGTAAAGTTTCGAGATTATGTTCACCATTGCTGTCCAATCCTCCAAAAAATCATGTAGCATGATTCCCTTTGCCAAAATTTGACCACACCTGCTTCGAGTAGGGGCAAGAGAAGAATAAATGGCAACATGTTTCCAACTGATGGTTGCAAAGGACGCAAACAGTGGAAAGGTTAGCATTCCAGTGGTGCGTACGATCTCCAGTGCTGAGTCTATCTAGTAGAGCAAGCCAGGCAATAAAACCGAATTTAGGGCAATGGTGAGTGAACCATATCCCTTTAGTCCAAGGAACTTTTGGTGACGAGTTTCGCACCAGATCTCTGGTAGTTCGTGTGTTGAAACTCCTTTTGTAGTCATTCTCTTTCACTCGCCAAAGATAAGAGTCCTCTGCATTAGGTTGATATCGAGCCTTAGCTTGATCTATCTCATATTCCACCCTGTTCAGAATCGGGTATCTGTGCCTTCTCCTTCTGTGTGTTAGGAAAAAATCTCTTAGCGTCGATGTTTCTCCAATTCCTAGATCAATGAAGACCTTGGGCCCTAACAGAGTCAGCAAATTCCCCATCGATGACCACCTATCATACCAAAACAGATCATTTTTGCCATTTCCAAGCTCGACCTTAAGGAAAAAAGCAGCCAGATCTCGCACTTTTAGGATTTCCTTACAAACCCACAAACTCGAAGAATAGCTTGAACCGTACTGAGGAGTTAACCAGACCGAATTGTGCTGCATTCTATTTGCACATGTCCATCGAACCCAAAGAGAATTTCTTGCAGTAATCATTCTCCAAAACAGCTTGAGAGTGGCCACTTGATTTACTTCTCTTAGACTTTTCAGACCCAACCCTCCCTCATCTTTAGGTCTACAAACATCTTGCCATGCGATTTTAGCCTTCCTTGGATTTAATCCTGGTCCCAACCAGAGAAAGGCTGAACAAAGACTTTCTATCTTTCAATGCATTCATTTGGCAGTATATATACCGATTTCCAGAAATTTGTGAGTCCTGCGATGGCAGAGGACAAAAATTGCAGTCTGCCGGCAAAAGATAAGCTTCTAGCTGTCCATGAACTCATTTTGCAACTTATCTTGTCAATCAAAGGAGCATAATCAAGTGACCGCATTTTCTTCGTCAAAAGCAGAAGACCGAGATCGTGAACCGGATGAGAACCAAATTCAAAGGCAAACCTTTGAGCTATACTTTCCCAAACTACCTCTGAAACACCTGCGAGATATAGTGTGGACTTCTCCAAGCTTATGCGAAGCCCAGATATTCTTGCAAAATTGTCAAAGACTTTTACAATACTCTCCATCGATCGAGATTTCCTGTCTGAATAGACCAGAAGATCGTCCGCAAAACAAAGGTGAGTCAGCTGTAAATTTGAGCACTTTGGATGGTAACCAAACTGCCCTTGAATCGCCGCTTTATCCAGCATCCAAGAAAGCACCTCCATACATATCACGAACAAGTAAGGAGATAATGAGCAACCTTGCCGCAATCCTCTCGAACTTCCAAAATACTCAGCCAATTCACCATTCACTTGAACCGAGAATGAGGCTGTAGTTAAACTCGGTACCACCGGTTTGAGTTATTGTATCGTTCTAAGTATCTAGGCTGTCGAAAAAATATTAATAAAAATAAAATAATTAGGAGATGACATTACACTGTCCGCAAGATTAATGCAGTTTCTCAGTATCGTGAATACATTATTTACTTCAACACAATCGCTTCTCAATTTTTCGTACGAGTACTCTTTATCTTCTGATTCCTCCATTTATATGAAATCATAAATATTAAAAAATTGTAATTATTTTGGCAAATATATCACTAAGATGAAAATTCAATTGTCATGACACTTTTATTTATGGGGAAAATCGCATAAAAAACCTTCAAAGTGGCAGCGACTGACACTTTAAACCTCGAAGGTTTTAGACTAGTACTTTAAAACTTCAACCTTGTAACTTTAGCATATAAAACCCTCAATTTGGTTTCCGAGTATGCGCCGCCAAATTTTTAAACGGAATAGTTCACTCCGTTAACGGGAACTTCAACTCCGTCGAGAATTCTAATTTTTCCGTTTTGGGTATTCAAAAACGTGATTAAATTGATTTTAAAAAATTAATATCTGATTTATTCAATTAATTAACTAATTAAAAATACAAATATAGATATAAAAAAAACAAAAAACAAAAAAAAAACAAAAAAGACCAGAACCCCCAAAGTCAAAATCGATTTAGGGTTCGTCGTTCTCTTGAGTAAAAAACCCAGAAACTTGAAATTAGAGTTTCGAGCATAATTCGATCTGTGAGAGCTTCATATTAGTGGTTTAGTGGCACCAAATGGAAATGAGGTAAGGTTACTTGTAAAATTTGCGATTTGAATTTTGATTTTTGCCCAAAAGTTTTTCGAATTGATTTCATAATTCATGACTTCATTTGCTTATATTTGACAGTGAAAAGGAGACAGTGAAGGTCGTAATCCACTATGGTGGTAGTGTAAAGAAAGAAAATGAAGATTACGAGTACATTGGTGAGTTGGGTTGTTTGGGTATGAAATGGAAAGGGTCGGAGATTAGTTGGCAGAAGTTTGAAGTATTTCTCTGGGATATTCATGTTTGTACACCAATTGCCCTGATTTGGTACAGAGAGCTAAATGAGGAGATGAAGAAGTTGCAGTACGTGTTTGGGCACACAAATGAGGATATGCATGAGCTCATTTTCCTTGGATTAGCTTCTGGTTATTTAGAGATATTTAATGAACATGATATATCTGAATCTACACCTGATGTCATATATCTTCCATGTACTCAACAAGAAGGTAATGGAAATGGTGTGAAAGAGAGTAACGATTGTGAAGCTGGCGAGAACTCTGAAGAAGATAATGATGCTGATGATGAAGACGAAGGAAATAATGGGGATGATGAAGATAATAATGACACTGACGATGATGATGATGATGATGATGAGAGGCCAAGAGAATATGAAGAAGGTGAGCGATCTGAGGACGAGGCACCTGCTGATGAAAATGAAGGTCAGGATGTGGTTGATGACGGAGATGAGGTTGTGGAAGATGCAGGAGATGGTGGTAGTGATGAGAGGTTCAAGGTTCTCTTCGAGGAAGGTGAGAGAGTTAAGAAACTAGTTAGTCAACAAGAAGAAGAAAAGGACGATGCAGCAAGGGAAGCAGAAGAAAGTGACGATGACTATAAGAGGTATATGAGAGGTGATGCAGAGTATCCAGATACTCCATTGTCATCGGATGAGGAATGGGATACATGGACTGATAAAAAAAAAGAGCAAAACGAAAGAAACAGTTTCATGGGGATTTTGAGAAGCCGCCATATCTCTGGTTATTTCAGAAGTTTAACAGTGCGATGGAGGTCAAAGATCAGCTTCTGCGTTACTCTCTAAACACACAGTATGATATCAAGATGGCTAAGTCTGAAGCATCCAGGATAGCGGCTATATGTAATGCAGAGAAATGCAATTGGAGAGTTTTCATATCGGTGGAGGTGCCTTTGAACAAGTGGATGGTGAAAGTTTGTCACAATGAGCACAACCATGAAAAAACCAGTCGAGTGTCTATGCTTAAACAAGGTGTGATAGCAGGGTTGTTTAGAGAAGAAATAAGAAGGAATATCAATTTGCCCGCAGCTCAGATAAAGGACACAATCAAAGAAAGGTATAATATTGTTGTTCCTATGTCAAAGTGCTATAGAGGGAGGCAGATAGCTTTAGATACAATACTGCAAGCTCAATCAATCCAATTCAGTAAGTTATGGGATTACCAAGCTGAGCTGACACGGAAACATCCAGACATCACCACAGAATTTTCCACGCAGCCTGGAGGACAGATGTTTGACTGTTTCTACATCTGTTTTAAGGAATTTGCTCGGTCATGGAAGAATAATTGTAGACCGGTTATAGGTTTAGACGGGTGCTTCTTGAAGTGGGAGTTATGTGGCGATGTCCTTGCAGCTGTTGGTAGAGATGCGGACAACAGAATGTATCCAATTGCATGGGCAGTGGTTCGTGGTGAAAACAAGGACACTTGGGGTTGGTTTATTAGGAGAATCAAAGCAGACCTTGACTTGGGCGTTGGCGATGGGTTAACTATCATTTCTGATAAGCAAAAGGTAAAGTTAAGACAAATCTTTTTTTTTAATGTAACTCTTTAGTGTTTAGGTACTTTATGCGTGTGTTTAACCATGATGCAGGGACTTGTTTTAGCCGTCGGAGCAGAGCTTCCTAATGCAGAGCATCGTATGTGTGCACGGCATATATATGCCAATTGGAGGAAGACTTTCTCAAGGTCAGAATATAAAAATCTCTTCTGGGGAGTTGCTTACAGCTACAATATGGGAGAATATAATGAGAAGATGGCGATGGTGGAGGCATACGATCCAGCTGCACATGCTTCTTTGTTGTAAAGAGAACCACACAAATGGTGTAGAGCTTTCTTCTCTATAGAGTCACGCTGCCATGATGTGCACAACAATTTATCCGAAGCTTTCAACAGAACAATCAAGATAGCTAGATCAAAGCCTGTCCTTAGCTTGTTGGAGGATATTAGAAGACAAGCAATGAGAAGGATCTCAAGGAGGCAACTAAAGGCAGCTAAAGTTAACACAATACTCACACCAATCACTATGGGAATATTGGAGAAAGCACGGGTGGACAACAAATACTGCTCAACACTCCGTAGTAGTTCCACTGAGTATGAGGTTCAAGAATTTGACAACAGCTACACCGTTCTCACAAGTAGCCACCAGTGTGCTTGTAGACGTTGGGATCTAATTGGTAAGTTGTTTCTTTACCTTCTAATTTTTATGAATTTTTAGTGTTTTATCTTGTTATTTATGTTTTTTATAACAGGTATTCCTTGTCATCATGCAATATGTGTTCTTGATGACAATCAAGAATCGCCTGTCAACTACGTGTCTCCATATTATTCTACAAGCCTCATGCAAGCCACCTACGCTCATAACATTAAACCTATGAATGGTGAAAAGCTGTGGCCAAAGGTACATAAGCCTCCAATCCTGATTCCAGAATTTCGCAAGCCGCGAGGGAGACCTCCCACCCGTGATAGAAGAAAGGAACCTTTTGAAGACCTCCAAAACAAGGGCAAAGTAACCAGACATGGGAGGACAATGCATTGTAGCAACTGTGGTGAGGCTGGACATATTAAAAGTGGATGTAAAAACGAGAAAGTTGTTGTCGAGGGACCTAAAAACAGAAGAGGCAGACCTCGTAAGAATCCAGCTGATGTAAGTTTCTAACTCTCCAATTTGGTTTAATGTGTTTTCTGGTTTATTTTGATTTGAAGTTTGATCGTAATTGTGTGTTGGCGTATAACAGGTTGTTCCTAAAAGGCCTACAAAACCAAGGAAAAAGAGGAAGACTGATGAAGCTGTTTCAAGCTCACAGCCAGTGCAGCAAGTAGAAGCAATTGACTCATATCCTGCTGCATCTACAGCTCCTGAACCATCAGTCGCTGCAAAACCAAAAAAAACCCGAGTGAAGAAGCCTAGCCGAGAACATTCCAAGCGTTACCTCAACATTGATGAGTCCTTTCACTGATAGAGCATTTGACGTCTTCAAGAACAGGGCTTCTCGGTCGCAGCCTCCATCCGATGGAGTTTAGTTTTTTTTTGCTTTTGTTTTTGCTTTTGTTATTGGATGGAGTTGGATATTTAAGTGGTTTGCTTGTGTTCAGTTTTTTGTTATTGGATATTGGATTTCATGGGTTTTGGTAGACATTGTTGTGTCATTATGCTATGTTATATTAGAACCTAATTGATCATGAATGATCTATATTTATGGTAGACAGGTTTCTCAAGTCATCATAGTGAACCATAACTGCATCATATAACATAGGTCTTTCACAAAAACAAACTGAAACACAAACGAGGTCTTTTCACCAAACTTCGACGGTTAAAAACAACAAAACATATCAGAAAACAGACACAATACCACTAGAGCCTTTCTCAGCACACAAATCCTACATCTTTGACATGGCAAATATGGCTCCCAATGCCACTGCAAACCCAAAAGTTGAAGACAACAGGACATTGCGGTAAATGGTGCTTCTCTCGGTAAGAACCAGCACCTCTTGCTTGAGCGTTTCACACTGCTCACAAGTTTCCTTCAACTCACGCCTTGGTGCTCTTCCCACTTCCTTAAACTTCATAATTTCGTCTTTCAGGTCACGGATAACATCTCTTGCCTCAAGCAACGCTAAATGTTGCCACCCTTGAGGCTTCTCGACATCATACCAACGAAAAAAGTTGCAGGACTCATATCCATTACCAACCTTACGCCCTGGACAAGCATAAAACCTCCTTCCAGGATTGTCATTTGTCCAAGCTTTCACAATCTTAGCTGCCCGCATACATTTACACAAAACACCAAATTCGTTTTTGACCTCTATTGTTGAAGAGCTTGAACTCTGCGCCATCTGTAAATTAAGAGTTCACAAAAGTCATACACAATTCTGTTATAAGCTCGCAATTAGAGGACAATCGACTTACCCTTATGAAGCTTTCACAGATCGAATTATGCTCGAAACTCTAATTTCAAGTTTCTGGGGTTTTTACTCAAGAGAACGACGAACCCTAAATCGATTTTGATTTTGGGGGTTCTGGTCTTTTTTGTTTTTTTTTTGTTTTTTTTTATATCTGTATTTGTATTTTTAATTAGTTAATTAATTGAATAAATCAGATATTGATTTTTTAAATCAATTTAATCACGTTTTCGAATACCCAAAACGGAGAAATTAGAATTCTCGACGGAGTTGAAGTTCCCGTTAACGAAGTGAACTATTCCGTTTAAAAATTTGGCGGCGCATACTCGGAAACCAAATTGAGGGTTTTATATGCTAAAGTTACAAGGTTGAAGGTTTAAAGTGCTAGTCTAAAACCTTCGAGGTTTAAAGTGTCAGTCGCTGCCACTTTGAAGGTTTTTTATGCGATTTTCCCTTTATTTATGCATGAATTTGATATATGTGTTATTTATTTAGTGAATCTATGATTACATTTAAGTGGGAGAAGAATGTTGGAGATTTAAGTGTTACAGTTATTTCAATAAACCATTGCAACTTTGGAGTTTATGGTTATTTTACTAAACATTGCAATTTTTGAGATTATGGTTTTTACCAACTATTGCAACTCTTAAGTTTATGGTCATTTATTAAATATTGCAACTCTTGAGTTTATGGTTATTTTACTAAGTTCACAATTTTTTTAGATCTTGTTGCAACCACAATAATTTCTATTTCCATTTGTTCATTCATAAATACTAATTATATTTGGCACACAAATTCTAAGTTTCTAAAATGTATTATTAATATTACACAATTAAAAATAATATGTCCAATGCTATATGATTTAATAAATTCAAAACATTTTTAGGTTTCTGAAAGATAGTGTTGACTTAAAATATATCAAAACTATTTCTAATGATTTGAAATCCAAAATTTTACAAATCATGACAAATAAATTTTTTTTTCTTACAAGATTTTGCTAGAATTTTATTCTCTTTGTTTGGAGATTTTAACATTTCATATCATGATTAAAAAAAAATTATTGTAAAAATATATGTATCAATGATTGAATTATATCGATAAAATTGGTCATGTTAGTTATAATTCTTGTTTAACTTCTTCTCAATGTCAATTGTATAGTTATATTTTATATAGATGTATATGTTGAGTTATACATCGTTACATTCATTGTAAATTATGAACTCAAATAAAAATGTGTGTTAATTGCTTTGTACGGCTTTATTTCTTTGAATTTTATATTTTTGGAAGTCATATCTATTTATTTTTATAATAGTAGTTATCTGTTCAAAAAATTGAATATTCACATCTAAGTATCATCATATTTTGTTATATGTATGTTCACTTATATATATTTAAAAAATTAGGAATTTCAAATATTTGATTTCCCCGGCGATTGGGCTCGACATCTAGTAATTATAATGTTGATAAGCTATACTATTATTTTATATTATCTAGTTAACATGTGACATGATCGCTCGTATACAGGGCCGACCCTGGGTAAAGTAGGTAAAACCCTTGCTTTAGGCGTAAAAACATATATGTAAAATTAAGGGCATCAAATTTCTGAAAGTTGAGTGTAGTGCAATGGTTAGCAGGCAAGAATATGAGGCATAGGTACATGATTCGAATCCGAACGCTGCTATTTTGTAAATTTTTATTAATAATAGGCTTAAAAATTTTTTTTTGGTTTTAGGCGCTAAAACCTATTGGGACGGCCTGCTCGTATACATTGAACATTTTCTTATGAGTTATTACGGTGTCACGAGTTTAAGATTAATATTTGTAGAGAATGGATGAAGAGATATATTGCACTTCTCAATACATGCCCTCTTCTCTAGCTTGGTTTTTTGTACGTTCCTGCAAGATGAGTGACACAACTGAACAAGTTTCATCTTGGAGTGAAAACGGGTTTGCACATAGATGTTCCAGAATATCTTATCGGTATATGATGTTGATAATAGCTTTAAATGTATACTACTGTTTGTAAACATCAAATATTGTTTATGAGTTATAATGAGCTATAGAAAACATTTCAAATATTTTTGAATACGTAAAATTATTTGAGTCAGATTATCTACAGGTTGATTTCCGGTATTGGAGGAGATTAAATCAGAACTCCCACGATTCATTAAAAAAAAAAAACATTTTCATACCATTTTATACGTTGGTTTTGTGCAAGTAGCCTAACTATCTGTTTTTTTATGTCTAATTTAGAGGGTCCTAAATCTATAATTAGTTGCAGAAAAATTATTGACGACCTGGAAGATTGAAAGAAGCTAGTGTTAGACATGATTATAAACAGATTATATGACTTTTTTTTTGAAGTATGGTGGGCTTCAGTTATTTTGTAAGAATTTTCAAAATTTTATATCAAAAGAAATATCCCATTTTGAGTTAACGGAACATGGTCTAAAATTTTATTGAACAAAAAACAGACACAGCAACTAGCAAAGTTAATGGAACAATTAATCTGTAAAGAATCAAAGTCAATGGAGGATGAGGATATATCTAGGAGGAGTTTACCGAGCTCTTGAACGTCCTTCCTTGGTCATGTTGAAGCTCCATAAAGAGGTTCTATAGATAGCTTCATGTTTCCTATAGCAACCACCTCTTCTACGGTGAGCTCGATCTTATGCTCAATATATTGACCTTTGGGAGGAGTCGTCAAATAGCCATCAAAGGCTACACAGGTACCAATAGGAAGAAACACAGAGTGATCCGGCATCACAGAAGCACTGATGTTCATAGGATCCATCGTCCACCTCAATATGAGCGAATCTTCCTTGCAACTGATCATCATTTTTTACACATCTGCTGATTCGGACCGTTTGACTGGCGAGTCCAACTCCACCATCAAGTTGACCCAAAATGGATCGTATACGGGTTTGTTGTGTAGAGGCTGAGGCTCCATCATTGGCTGCCTGATCAGGGGCAGCAGACCCAGTTTTAGCAAAAATAAAAGAAATACATATATTGTGCAAACTGAAATGAAATTAAAACCATTGACTTACTGTTGAGATGTTAGAGAGGATGACATTATTGGGATGGTAAACTGAAGTTGCCAAATGTGTTGTGCTAAGTTATAAATGACGACATTACTTGAACACAGACAACAAATCCATTCTTTTGCAAAAACTCTAGGTAATCTCTTGAATTAACACCAAAGCTTTTCCAAATTGCCGGGATCTTGATAGTGAAGGACTGACAACAATTTTTACCAGTGATGAGCTCTTGGTCAGCTAGTGACAGGTTATTCAAAAAACGGGACTCAGGCATAACACAACGACATTCAGTAGCACGACTAGATTTTCCTGGGAATTCCATGTGTATATATGTGGTTTAAGCCATTCTCTATGGTAGATCCATAGCAGTGATGTCCTGGCTTAGCTCTATCATCTTTTCCAAGAGATTTTGGATGGCAAAATGCACACAGATACCCATTGCATAGAGGCAAATTCTTACGGTCCCACTTTCACAAACACATCACGTTACTGACTAGATCAGTCGCCACATAGGCCCAACAAAGGAGATGATACATCTGATCCATAATTTACCTGCGATGCTCTTCCATGAAACTAGCTTCACGAATCTTTTTAAAACCTATAAAGAATAGATTTAGGTAAACAGAGAGTTAAATATATTAAAATTATTATAATAAAGAGTGTTAGGGAATTATATTATCAATGTTTACCGATTCTCTGATGTGCCAAAAGAGTATAGCAACATCACCATTTTCATGTAAAAGAAATTGCCCTTCTCTGCTAGTAAGTTGTTCTTTTGATAAATTCACAAGAGACTGAACCTCGTGCTTGTTTAGATAGCAGGCTCAGTCAGATTTTATGCTAACTAGACAATTTTGTGGAAGAAAATTAAGCCCATCCGACCTGTTAGGGGCTCTTGGAAATCTTAATAAGAGAAAAACAAAAATAAAACATAAGATTATATTAGTCATAAATACACGAAGAAAAAAAAATATATATATATATATATATATATATATATATATATATTAGCCATAAATACAGAGAGAGTTCATAATGTTAACTATAAATTTGGGTTGCACATACTTATTTCAAAGTCTAATGTCTTCCTGGCTTCTTTCCAATAAAGATTGACAATGTTTTCTCCAATAAGCTTTCTTTCTAGCAATACCTGTAACATACATGGATGGAAGGTTAGATTTTCAGCGAAGAAGGATGAAAAATACAAGATATGGCTCTGTTTGTCACCTCTGTCATTGCTATTATGTATTGCATGTCCTGATTTCAGTTACACTATATATTCTGCCTCTCCTTTTCCAAAAGGAACCTCCATTGCATTAGGAATTAAAGCTTTTCGTCCTTCACATCTTCTTGAATGTCTTTTGCTTGTGAATTGAGGATTATATCCCTACTCTTGAGCATATACTCAACATGACCTTTCACATAAGTGGTGCAAATGAAGTGTGTGCACCCATGTGTGAGTCAAAACTCGCACAACCAAAAATTTGTAAGGAAAAACTAAGGGATCCGAAACTTTTAGGATAATCGCAAGAACAGTAAGATTAAAAGAGGATTTTTATTGCTGTGAAAGTGTTTAGGTCTTATTACTTAGGGTTGCCAAAGTTACATAATGAATCGTAGAGATCTCTTATTTATACTAACTTCTTAAACCGCCTAGTCGAGAATCTCGGGAGAGATTTTAGGAATGTTTCCTAATCGCTTCGTGCGGCCACCGTCATAGTACTTCGCTTAGGGCTTCTGTGGGCTTTCGTCTTCCAAAGCCTTGGTTCGGCCCATCTTGGAAACCCGGCTCGGCCCAACACAAAGGGAAGCGATTCGGCCCATGCTTCCTCTCGCGCTGCTAGGCCCGCTCTCCGTACTTCTCACAGCTCGGCCCATCTATCCTTCTCTGCG